TCCAATTGAAATGCCCTTTCCGGGGCTCGCACCCGGATTTTTGATCAGGGCAAGCTTCGGGTCTCAGAATTGGGTTGTTGGTCCCCAGTTTACAACAACAACAACAACAACGGCTCCCCTCTGATATTTCCTCACAACTTTATTCCCAAATCGCGCTCTCGCGCGGGACGTCCTCACAATATATGCAGGAATCGCGCTCCCACGAGGGACTTCCTCGCCATTTATCCAGACGCCGTGCTCCTAGCTCCTCTTCTCCCATTATCTCTCGTGCTCCATCTTCCTCCTTCCCCCTTGTCCCTTCTTCCAACCGTCCTCTCTTCCCCTGCCTCATGGGCTGCACGAAACACACGTTGCAGGTAAGGAAGATTTGCCCCCAAGGGGGTACGATCGAAGACGAAGAGGGCGGGCATCGAGGTTTTGGGATGTACGTGTTGAATGGCACGCGAGCGGATAAGAGGGAACAGTCTCAAACATACTATTGTTGTTGGTGGTGGTGCTGTGATTGTTGCTGCTGTTGTTTTGGTTGTAGCTGTAGGTTGCTTCTTGTTAGTTGTTTATTGTCGTCGTCCTCCTCGCGACCAGGTCCGCGACCCGCCCGTGACCCGGCCCGCGACCCACCCGCGACGCCCGCTACCCACCCGCGAGCCACCCCGCGACCCACCCGCGACCCAACCGCGAGCCACTCCGCGACCCACCCGCGACCCACACTCGACCCACCCCGCGACCCGCCCGCGACCCGCCCGCGACACACCCGCGACGCACTCGCGACCCACCCGCGACCCACCCGCGACCTGGCCCGCGACCCACTCGCGATCCACCCGCGACCCACCCACATTGTTCTATCGAAGCAATCGGCGCCTGCGGCTCCTAGTGCAATTTGTAAAAATTCGGCGCCTACGGCGGGCTTGTTCAGAGCCTCGCAGACCGCTGACGTCCCTGCCGCCCCCGCACTCGAATCCGCAACTGCGGGGTGCTGTGTGTATCATCTACTGGCGCTGCCGAGCGATTCCACCACGGCGCTCGGGCGGGCGAGCGCCTGGGGGTCGGGGCGGGCGCGGGGTGGGGGGTGCAGGAATGGTCCATTGAACATCCCGCCCCCAACCTAGAATTTGGGCACACACACACACATCCATGAATCCATACATTCATACATGGTGTCGTCGCGTCGGCGTCGGCGTCGGCGCCGCCGCCGTGGTCGCCCGGTCTGCCCGGTCTCTGCGCGCCCCTCGCGGCCGCTGCCCGGGGTGAGGCGAGCGCCCTGGAGGCCGTGCGCACGGGCGTGGGCCCGGGCCACGTGCTGGCGCAGGCCGAGGTTCGGGGGCGGCCAATCTTACCAGCCTCGAACGTATCCCTATCCCTAAGATTGACACGCTAAAAGGCGATGACAATCTTAGGGATTCGCCCTCAAAAAATAAGGGAATCCCTAAGATTGGCATCGTGATGAGGAGGTGCCCAGCATAGGGATAGGGATATGTTCCAGGCTGGTAACAATCGGGACGACCGACATGGGTACGGAAATAATGGGTACAAAGACCAACAGCAGTTCTTGCTCATTTTGAACAGGATGCGCTGTCGGCGTCGCCGCGGACTGTGTCCGTTTGAGACAGAAGGCCGCCTGCCAAACAGCGGCCGCTGTTGGTTCGGGACAACATTTGCTGTTGGGCATTGTGCCCATCGTTTCCGTGCCCATTTCGGGCGTCCAGAGCCAAGAGGGGGGTGATGACTATGAGGGGCAACTCTTCCACCACCACTACCACATGTAGGACGGAGGAGAAGGAGGATGAGGAGGTCCTCCTCCTCCTCCTCCTCCTCCTCCTCCTGCTCCATCTCCTACCTATGGTAGTGGTGGTGGAAAGCGAGCCCATCAGACTAGGGGGGGGCGGAAGTCGTGGCGGGGGCCGTCGATGAGCGGCTCGGGATGTCGGTGGCGGCAAGGAGGGGTTTGATGACTTGGGGGGGGGAGGATATCATGGCGTGGGCCACGACATCTCCCTAGATTTCATGGCGCCCCTTCTTGTTTCATTGCGTCCCTGGTCGCCCTCCCTGGGCCAAGCACATGCCGCCGGCCACGATTTGAGCCCCCCCTCTTGGACGCTCCCTTCTTGGACGGCCCCGAGAGGTGACGGACGAGGCCGCGCTGGCGGGGGCGCTGATGCGCGACTGGTCCAAGATCCAGGCCTCGCGTCAGGAGAGGAAAAGGCACCCCCATGCCCCTACCCCCCTTCGCCCGTTTTCTTTTTTTTTCTGCCCTCCCCAGGGAGGTTTTCGTCGCCACCGCTGAATTCGCCTCGAAATGCTTGTCAGAACGCACCCCCCGGGTGAGGTCCGGGGAGTAGCGGTATCGGTACCTGTTGGTTTCCTCATCGGGGGGGGGGGGCAGGCAGCCCGATCGAGTCGATGCTCGGCCCAGAGTCGGGCGCGACGGTGCTGAACCTCATCAGCACCACCGCTGGAGCCCGAGAGAAACATGCTCGCTTCATAGCAGTCGGTGTCAAAGCAGCTATGCGAACGATTGTGCAGAATTTGGGCGAGGGCGAAGGGCGAGGGCGGACTGGGGAACTCCAGGCCTTCCAGTGGGGTCCGAGTAAATGCGGTCCGATGATCGCGCCGCATCGCCCATGCATGGTCTCCTGTGTTGTCCTGCCTCGGACGTTTCCGTCGGTCCCCTTGGCGTTCTCCTGCCTCTGGATGCGCGATTGGTCCAAGATCCAGGCCTCGGGTCGGACGAGAATCGGAGGAGGAACTGGTGCCTGTACCGCTACCCTGGCATCGTTTTCGCTTTTTCGAGCCTCCTGGGAGACCCTCGTCCCCACCGCTGGATTCGCATCGAAATTCTGGTGAGAACGCATCCTAGGAGAGATCCGGACAGTAGCGGTATTGGTATTGAAAAAATCAGGAGGTTGCATGTCTTGGTCCCTGGGTCTGGAGGGGGGTGGGCTGGGGAACGAGGAGGATAATCGGTTCGGGGCTCGAGGGGTTCGGATGTGTTCGTCGGTCTCCTGAGGATCACGGCGCAAGCGCAAGTTTTCTTCTAGCTCTCGGGCATCTGGGGGCCCTTGTCGGGCGCGGGGGCCCCAAATAATGTGGGGTCCAAGTCGGGCTCAGGGTGGAAAGTCGAAACCCGGGTCCAGACATGCCACGTTGCGAAAAAAGTCACGACGTGGGACGTCTGCGTGGTGATTGGTCGTCGTCGTCGTCGTCGTCGTCTTCGTCGTCGCCGTCGTCGTCGGCGTCGTCGTCGTCGTCGTCGTCGCCGTGGTCGCCGTGGTCGTCGTCGTCGTCGTCGTCGTCGTCGTCGTCGTCGGCGTCGTCGTCGTCGCCGTCGTCGGCGTCGGCGTCGGCGTCGGCGTCGTCGTCGTCTGCGGCGTGCAGCCGGCTGCGGCCCCGCCTGCCGGGCGCCGGGCTCGATGCGAGAGGTCGCCTCGGGTGCCAGGGAGACTGGCCGAGGGAGCTGGCTCGCCCCTCTCCTCCTCCTCCTCCTCCTCCTCCTCCTCCTCCTTCTCCTCCTCCCCCTCCTGGTCCTCCTCCTCCTCCTGCTGCTGCTCCTCCTCCTCCTCCTCCTGCTCCTCCTCCGCCTCCTCCTCCGCCTCCTCCTCCTCCTCCTCCTCTTCCCTCTTCGGGGAGCAGCGCGCCGTACCAACGACGCGCCGCTGTGGGCACCCCACCAGCGCGTGGCAGCCCAGATCCATGGCAAGGTTGTGCGCTGCGTCCTCGAGGCACAATCCTTGCATGCCTCCTCCCTGGGCCCCTCCAGGGAGTGCTTGCGCCGAGGAGGGGGGCCCTCCTCCTCCCCTCCTCCCCTCCTCCTCCCCGGCCTCCCCGTCCTCCTCGTCCTCCTCGTCCTCCTCGTCCTCCTCGACCTCCTCGTCCTCCTCGTCCCCCTCGTCCTCCTGTCATCCTTGCCCGTGCTGACGTCCAGGGAGCGCGCAGTGGCAAGTGGTGCTCCTGGGGATCTCGCAGCCTCGCCTGGCATCTCGCCATGGGTTTGGGACCATCAGCGGCACGCCGCTGCGGGGGCCCCGTCGTCGCGCCGCTGCCTCCCAGGAGCGCCAGGCCCTCGGGCCGAGACGCGGACGGGCGGCGTGCCGTCGCCTTCCTTCTCCCCTCTCGATCTGCCTTCCTTCTCCCCTCTCGTCGCCTTCCTTTTCCCCTCTTCTCCCCTCTCGACATGCTTTCCCCCTCCTCCCCTCCCCTCTCCTCCGGCCCGGCAGGCCACCGTCCAGGAGACCAGCCTGTAGCAGGCGGCCTCGGCCACTTCGGGCGGGCCATCGTCGTCGTCGTCGTCGTCGTCGTCGTCGTCGTCGTCGTCGTCGTCGTCGTCGTCGTCGTGGTCGTCGTCGTCGTCGTCGGGAAGGGAAGGGAAGGGATGGGGTCCAGGAGGCCCCAGGAGGGCACACGAGCCTGGCATCGCTCGGACGTGTGCATTTTTGTTCTCGGCCAGGACCATCCCGGACCATCGAGCCAACAAAAATACGCACGAAACCGAAACATGCACGGGAAATGGACGTCCGAGCGGTGGCGAGCGAGGCCTCACCCCCGAGGAGGGCCCAGGACGCCCCACGAGAGCCCGCGCAGGGAGTGCAGGGGAGCGCCGAGGGAGGGCCGGCTGCGCGGAGGCTCGCCGCGCAGGCTCCCTCGCGCGAGGGGGGTCGCGCGCGAGGAGCGCCCCCCTCGTAAACCCGCGCGGCAGTGCCGCGCGGTGGCGGCCCGCGGTGGTGCACGCTGCTCTCCCCCCCTCCTCTCTCCCGAAGACGCCCCGGGAGGCCCGCGCGCCCCCTCTCCGCGCAGTGGGCTGTTCCTGTCGCGCTGGGTTGAGGCGATCTGTTTTTTCCTCCTCCTCCTCCTCCTCCTCCTCCTCCTCCTCCTCCTCCTCCTCTCCGCGCAGTGGGCTGTTCCTGTCGCGCCGGGCTGGGGCGATCCGTTTTTTCCTCCCGGGTGTGCTTCCAGGCCGAACGTCCTCGGTGCTTCCAAAATAGCGTGCCCCCCCCCTTTGCTCAAGGGCGCCCTCGAGGGCGCGAAGTCATTCGCGCTTCGCGCTTCGCGGTTCGGCTCCGATTCCTCCTCACCCTCCACTTCTCCCCTGGGAGGCGGCGCGAGAGTGCGAAGTTATTCGCACCTCGCGCTTCGCGCAGCGCGAAGCGCGAAGTTGGGAGCCCTTGTTTGCTCTAGGCATCCCGGACGGGGCCGGAGTAGATGGGGTCGGAGGATCGCGCCGCACATCCGATGCATCGCCGATGCGGCTCGATGCATCGTCGACGTCGCGGATGCATCGCCGGTGCGTCGCCGATGCATCGCCGGTGCATCGCCGGTGCATCGCCGATGCATCGTCGATGCATCCGCGAGGCGGCCCGATCCTCTGACCCCATCCACTCCGACCCCATCTCGGCATCGCTCGGACGTGTGCATTTTTCCTTCGGCGAGGGCCATCGAGGAGCATCCTGGATCATTTGGCGAAAAAAAACACGCACGAAACATAAAAAAAAACAGGAAATGGACGTCCCAGCGATGGCCAGCCACCTGGGGGGGCCTCGGCTTGCTCGCGCCGTCGAGGCTGGCATACTCCCGCGCCCTGGCGCCGGCCACGCTTCCGGATCCGGCTGCCTCCTCGTCGCTGGGGCGCCCTCTTGGCCTCCCCTCCCCCGCCCTTCCCCGGTCCTTCCCCCCCCCGTCCCCCCTGCCCTCCCCCTCCCCGGTCGCCTGGCATCGCTCGGACGCGTGCCTTTTTTTTCTCGGCGAGGGCCCTCGAGGAGCATCCTGGATCCTCCGGCGAAGAAGCCGCGCACGAGGCCGCAGCAGAAACACGGGGACTGGGCGCCCGAGCGACGGCGAGGAGTCGTCGCCGCGCCCCTCCCTTTGCCTCCCCTCCGCCCTTGCCTTTGGGCCTCCCGCGCCTCCCGCGGAGCTGCGCGCCCCCGCTGGGCCCGTGCCCTCTGCGCTGGTCCCGCCTTTCTCGGCGCGCTCTCTCGTCGGGGGCCTGTCCCGCTCCTGCCGCTCCCCTCGGCTCGCGCGGGAGTGCCTCGTCCTTCTCCTCCTCCTCCTCTCTTCTCCCCTGTCCTCTTCGTCCTCCTCGCTCCTCCGCCTCTTCGTTCTCCTTCCTTCTCCTGGTCCTCCCCTTCCTTCTCATCCTCCTTCCCATCCCCCTGCCCATCCGCCGCCACCATCCGCCGCCGGCCATGTCTGAGGCCACGGCCTCACCCGCTCCGCCCTTAAGGGGCCCGGGCGATTGCCCGCACGAGCGTCCCATTCCCATTCCCATACCAATGTGCACAGCTCCCCTTCCAGACGCTGCGCATCCCCATAGGGGCCCATTTTGGGTGCTGCCTTCCGTGCGGACGGAGAAACATCAGCGCAGTGAGAAGGACTGGGAGCGAGGGGTCGGATGCCCGATGTGGCGCGAACGCGCCTGACTTGCCTTGCCCCCTCTCTCCTCTCTCCCCCCCTCCTCCTCCTCCTCCTCCTCCTCCTCCTCCTCCTCCTCCTCCTCCTGCTCCTCCTCCTCCTTCTCATCCCCTCCTCCTCCTCCTCCTCCTCCTCCTCCTCCTCCTCCTCCTCCTCCTCCTCTCCCTGCTGGCGTTTCGGCCTCGCTGTTTTCGGACTAGCTCGTGTTTTTCGGACTCGTGCCATTGCGATATGTGGAATCAGGAACGAGCCAAGGCACTCGGTCGTAAGGCCAGAGAGAGAGCTGAGACCGATTCAGACGATATTTTTTTCTGAGGGGGGCCCTGTCGGGGCCCCTGCCCCTTGTGTCCGACCCCCCCCCCTCTCGTGTCCGACCTGGAGATCCCTGCTGCCCCCCGAGCCGGGCGTAGTGAGGGTGGGGGGGAGGGCGATAAGGGGAGGGGGGGTTGAAGAAGTAGGTTCGCCTTTTTTGCCCTGCAGAGGCCCCCTGGGGCCCACAAGCGGCACGACGGGAACACGTTTCCCCCCACCCCACCCCTCCCCACTCCCATACCCCAGACGTCATCATTCCCAACCCTCCTTGGTTGGGTATTCGTTTTGAATAGAGCAGTGTGGTCGCGTCCCTCCTTCTCCCGCCTCCCGCCTCCCGCCTCCCGCCTCTTCTTGTCTTGCCTGCGGGGGGCTGCGATCTGTGAAACTGTCGCCACTTTCGAGGCCTGCTGGGGGGTCCGGCATGGGTAATTGCGCAGATTCAAATTAGACCTCGCCATCCCTGGGGGGCTGCGATCTGTGAAACTGTCGCCACTTTCGAGGCCTGCTGGGGGGTCCTGCATAGAGGGTAACCGCGGCAGATTCAAATTAGACCTCGCCATCCCTGGGGGGCTGCGATCTGTGAAACTGTCGCCACTTTCGAGGCCTGCTGGGGGGTCCTGCATAGAGGGTAACCGCGGCAGATTCAAATTAGACCTCGCCATCCCTGGGGGGCTGCGATCTGCGAAACTGTCGCCATTTTCGAGGCCTGCTGGGGGGTCCTGCATAGAGGGTAACCGCGGCAGATTCAAATTAGACCTCGCCATCCCTGGGGGGCTGCGATCTGTGAAACTGTCGCCACTTTCGAGGCCTGCTGGGGGGTCCTGCATAGAGGGTAACCGCGGCAGATTCAAATTAGACCTCGCCATCCCTGGGGGGCTGCGATCTGTGAAACTGTCGCCACTTTCGAGGCCTGCTGGGGGGTCCTGCATAGAGGGTAACCGCGGCAGATTCAAATTAGACCTCGCCATCCCTGGGGGGCTGCGATCTGTGAAACTGTCGCCATTTCGAGGCCTGCTGGGGGGCCCAGCAGTGAGGGTACGGGGATTCAAATTAGACCTCGCCATCCCTGGGGGGCTGCGATCTGCGAAACTGTCGCCATTTTCGAGGCCTGCTGGGGGCCAGCACAGTGAGGGCCACGCAGATTCAAATTAGACCTCGCCATCCCTGGGGGGCTGCGATCTGCGAAACTGTCGCCATTTTCGAGGCCTGCTGGGGGGCCCAGCACAGTGAGGGCCACGCGGCAGGATTCAAATTAGACCTCGCCATCCCTGGGGGGCTGCGATCTGCGAAACTGTCGCCATTTTCGAGGCCTGCTGGGGGGCCCAGCACAGTGAGGGCCACGCGCAGATTCAAATTAGACCTCGCCATCCCTGGGGGGCTGCGATCTGCGAAACTGTCGCCATTTTCGAGGCCTGCTGGGGGCCCCAGCACAGTGAGGGCCACGCGCTGATTCAAATTAGACCTCGCCATCCCTGGGGGGCTGCGATCTGCGAAACTGTCGCCATTTTCGAGGCCTGCTGGGGGGCCCAGCACAGTGAGGGCCACGCGCGGATTCAAATTAGACCTCGCCATCCCTGGGGGGCTGCGATCTGCGAAACTGTCGCCATTTTCGAGGCCTGCTGGGGGGCCCAGCACAGTGAGGGCCACGCGCGGATTCAAATTAGACCTCGCCATCCCTGGGGGGCTGCGATCTGCGAAACTGTCGCCATTTTCGAGGCCTGCTGGGGGGCCCAGCACAGTGAGGGCCACGCGCGGATTCAAATTAGACCTCGCCATCCCTGGGGGGCTGCGATCTGCGAAACTGCCGCCATTTTCGAGGCCTGCTGTGATCCCGTTTTCGAAGTGGCTAGGAGTGCTCAGGAATTGTAAATCATCAGCTTTATCAAGCCCTTTTCCTGTAGCCAGTGTCCTGCGAGTCTCCCGAATTCCGTCTGCAGACATATGTAACCCTCGCTCCGGCATCGCCCCCTTATAAAGTATCCTAAACTATTTGCGTCCCGCTTTTGCGCAGGGGTTGGGTACGTCGCCAGGGTAATTTTTTCATACGTCGACCCCCAGAGCTCTCGACCCCTTCCCCAGGACCAGCTTCTCATCCCGAGCCCTTCTTTGACGGTCCCGAGGTCCAGCCAGGGCCCCCGGGGAGGCCGAACATCACGAACAGCATCCCGTCGGGGCTCTTCCTCATAACCCGACGGGGCCTGGGCTCATCGCCCCCCTCACTAGCAACGCCCAACCGAGGCCGCCGCCCGGGGCGCGGCCGCGCGCCCGCCGCGTGGTGCGCTGAGCGGGGCGCCGCGCGCGCGCGCCGCCGCCCCCGCCCCTCGTCTGATGGGCTTGTTTTCCATTATTATCATTATCACCACCATAAGTTGGAGGGGGGAAGGAGGTGGAGGACGAGGAGGCGGAGGAGGAGGAGGAGGACTGGGAGGAGGAGGAGGAGGAGGAGGAGGAGGAGGAGGAGGAGGAGGAGGAGGAGGAGGAGCAGGGAGGAGGAGGAGGAGGAGGAGGAGGAGGAGGAGGAGGAGGAGGAGC